ATATATATGTATTATATATAACTCAAAATATTCTCATTTCTATTTTTTTAAAGAAAGAGATGGAGATATATATCAGATATTTTTACAGATAAACATTTTAAATATCTTCATTTATCAAGCGTTAGTTACATATTAATATACATTTACAATTATTTATAAAAAGATAACGTTTTTATAAAACAAACGTAAAACTGGTATTTATCGATTACAATTATTTGCTTTACTTAATTTTCTTTATAAAGCAAAATAAACATTATTAACAATTTAATGCTAATAACCACAGATCATTGTCAATTTCATGATTTTAAATAAATGAAATACTTCCACAATCACCACAGTAATAATTATTAGCAGTGAAAAAGCTATTCCGAAAATTTTTATATGGGTCATGAAAGAATTGATATAAAGTCAGATAAATTTGGATTGGTATCATTTATTTATATTAAAGTAGTAATTTATGTGACTCGTAAAAATAAAAAAAAAGAGAGATAGAGACATCCGAGAAATTCATTTCCACACGTATTCATAAATATGCATCTTCGTAAATCGATACAGGATACCTCGTCTACAGTGCAACGACGCGCTGATACAACATTCTTAGAAGCGGTCTGCGTATCCGAATGCCTTCAAACCGTACGTGACTGGTTCTATGTTCTACTCGTTATTATTAACTAGTTTCGAGAAAAGGAAATATGCATTCTTTTAACTCGCTCCTCAGCGTTGCATAGTTAATCGTCTATTTATCCCCTCTATTGGACTTCGATTAAAAACAAGTTTATGCAAATAAAAGAATGAATTTGAGCAACTTGCAATTTTGCGACATATGTGTAGAAAATGCACGCGCCTGTATGTTTATCATATATTATACATGATATATTATATACTATATATGTATAAAGTATTAAAAAAATATTCAAAATTTCTTTTTTTATTGAATTTTATAAAATAATTTAAGATAAAATATACATATATGACCCTAATAAACTCATAACTAAACTTTATAACACACATGCGTGTTATAAAATGTTTATCTACTATCGATTACCAAATGCTACATAGAGTAGATCTGTTCTTATCATGCTTTCAAGTTAAATCTGCGAAGATAAATGTTAACAAAAGATATTATTTTCATTTCCGTTTTTTGCAAATAAGACGATAAGCTACTTCTTAGAATTATATTCGCGCAATATCGCGAATTTATCGATTTTTACAATTTCCTTTCTTTCTCTGTCTTTTTCCTTTATTTTTTCTTTTTTAATTTTCTTTTCGGATATGTGTTCATGTTTTTATTTATTATAATTTACAATACACTATCGTCATATGACTTTTTATTATTGTATTATATAATTGAATATATTGATTAACAAACATG